AAGAGTATAGCATTTAAAGATTATTAATTACTAGAAGACAACATAATGAGGATGTACTCTGATTCACAGATGATGAATTCTTTAAAAATGTGTAAGGAAACATGAACATTGCATCTATTCTTGCATGTATATAACTGTACATTATATCGTCAATACCTGTAGAAAACAAAATTGTAAATTTAGCACTTTTACTTTTTTGAGATGGCTTGGAGGTGGGGCTTCTATTTGTTACATTGTTGGTTTAAAACATGTCAACAATGAGTCCTGAGTTATTACAGTTAACCATTTGAAAGCATGAAACTGATGTGAACATTTTGTCATTTTTTTAAGATAATTTCTAAAATCATATGGTACTTTTTAAGTCCTCGTAGTACAGTATAAAAATGGAAAGAAATACAATGATTTCTCTTTTCATTTTAAAGTATATTTGGAGTTATAAAATTTAAGATGTTACAGAACTTTTGTAACCTTTTTATGAACTGAAAAAAGTAATATTGCTATTCTTAAGCTATATTGATTTGTAGATAACAGTATTTTACTCTTTAAGAAATTCTTACTTAGTAATATCCCATCTTTGATGTTTAGGTGCATCAATTTAGTAATAAGTCAACAGAAATGGCTTTAAGAGTGGCATCTCTTGATTACCTTGGAACTGTTGCTGCACGACTGAGAAAAGATGCTGTTACCAGCAAGATGGATCAAGGGTCTATAGAACGAATTTTAAAACAGGTATCAAAATAAAGAACTTTAATTAATATACAAGTAGTTGCTTACTTGGTTGCTTTTGGTGTGGTGGGGGGAAGAAACAGGGTCTAATGTTTTCCAGGTTGGTTTCAAACTTTCTGTGTAATCTATAGTTGAGGATGACCTTGAAGTCGTGATCCTCCCAAGTGCTGGAGGTGTCACTAGGCCAGGTGTATGGAGTGCTAGGGACTGAACCCAAGACTTTGTACATTCTAGGCAAACATTCTACCACCTGAACTATATCATCCAGCCCTACGTGTTCTTACCTTATATCGTAGGAGTAGATGTTGCTGGTGGTTTTCTTCTCCCGCCTAAGTCCTGCCTCCCCAAATAAACACACAAACACTATATTAATTTTTAAATTGTTGGCTGATGGCTAGAGCTTCTTATTGGCTAGCTCTGTCTTAATTATTAATCCATTTCTAATAATCTATGTATTTCCACATGGTCTTATCTTACCAGAGAATGCTTCTTGTGTCCTTTCTTTCCGGTCCTTACTTGGCGAAAGTTTCGAGGACTCTCCCTGCCTACCTTTCCCAGAATTCTCCTCTCCTAGCCCAGCATATACTTCCTGCCTGGCCAATAAGTGTTTTATTCATCAACCAATAAGAGAAGCATATATACAGAAGAACATCCTCCATCAAGTAGATTTTGTAGAGTTAAGGAAAATTTGTTAGTTGGCCCTGGACTCTCACTTTAGTCCAGGCTAGCCTTGAATTCATAATGTCCTCAGAAACTCATCCTAAAGGTAAAATTTAGGTCCTTCTCTGAATTGACTGAATCCAGAGCCCTAGGAATAGAGTAGTCAGTGGTTTAACAAGCCCATCAGAAGATTGTAATTAGTGCTAAATTTTGAGTGCTATTTTATGGTATTTATTTGCACAAATGAGAATTGGCACATAAATATTTGTTATACAGTATCACAAGCAAAAACTTACAATTACTATATTACTAGTGAATATAATAGTATAATCTTTTGCCCTTTTTTTGAAGATTTATTTCATTCATTTGTGTGTGAGAGAGAGAGGGAGTGTGTGTGTGTATATACATGTGTATGTAGGTGCCCATGGAAACCAGAGGATACATTGGGTCCTTTGGAGCTGGAGTCAGACATTTGTGAGCCACTGAATATGGGTGCTAGGATCTGAACTCCAGTCCTCTGATAGAGCAGTAAGCCCTTTTAACCACTGTGCCATCTCTCCAATAGATTGTCCTTATATGACAGCTGAGATACCTTTTTGAGCTAGCTTTGTGTCTTTTTTGACATGTAAACTGTATTTTTTGGTTGGGAGTGGGGAGGGAAGTAGGTATATGCTTATGTTGTGTTTTTAGTGTATGTACTTGCTAATGTGTGTGCAGAGGTCAGTTCAGGTATCTTTTTTTTTTCAATCACTCTTTATTATCATTTATCAGTTAAAAGGCTAGGATTCTTTGAAGGACACTGAAAGTAAAAGGTGTCTGTAAATTACCTATTACATCATGAAATAAATCTTCAAAGAATAATGGGAACAGTGCTGAGGAGATAGCTCAGTGGCAGAGTGAATGCAAGCTTAGGGACTGAATTCAGATTCTCAGAATCCATGATAAGCAAACTCAGCTAAATTCCCAGAGCCTACAAATTCACTCATTTTCTACACCTCAAGTATTATCTCCACAGTAACTATAAAGCTTCCTGAAATGTTTAATGCATATTATTACCTCTGATAACTTTTATTTACTGGATTAAAACTTGGGCATACATTCATAAATATAAAATACACAGTGAGTTCATGACAATGCTGGAATACATGAGTCCTGTCTCAAAAAAACTATTGATTGTCTCCTTTTTTTCAAATGTAAATTCAGTACAGGGTTGGGTAGGATATCTTTGTGATGATACTTACACCAGCCATTTCTGAGCTGTTCAAGCTGTCAGTATGTTTTTGAGAAACTGTAGCTTTTGTTTCTGTATAATGACCATCCTTGTTTTCCTTCTTACTGGTTTTCCCCGCCCCAGTTAGGTTTCCATCTACATCTACACAATTTATTAACACACACCAGTACTCTAGTGATTACATATCTGTGATCCCATCATTTGGGAAGCCGGGGCAGAGCTTCACAGATTTGAAACCAGCCTTAGTACAACACAGTGTGAGAAGTGGGTGGGAGGACCAGTAACAAACAATTAAGCCACCAATATTTTGTGATTGTTTATATTTTGGTTTAGGTTTCTGGAGGAGAAGATGAAATCCAACAATTGCAAAAGGCATTGCTTGACTATTTGGATGAGAACACTGAGACTGACCCTTCACTGGTGGTGAGATTCATTTTGCCTTTTAAATTGTCTTCTAAAAGTAAGTGTAGGAGTTAGAGGGAAAGAAAATGAGAGAAATATTTGGAAATCTTTGTATTAGATTATCTTTAAATCTAAACTAATTCTTAAAATGAGTATAGACCACCTGATGCTAAAGATGATCTGTTAGCACACAAAGTTATCAAATTCATATATATATATATATATATATATATATGTATACATGCAGTTCTTTGAAAATGTACATTAAGTAACAAGTCCAGAATATAGCAGACTGTGAATACAATTTGTACACTTTATAGGCCTGGCATAAGTTCATAAATAACACTGTGCACATAATGGGATGTTTTAAATTTATTTTTTAGCTGGTGAAATAAGAATTACACTAAACCGGGCGGTGGTGGCGCACGCCTTTAATCCCAGCACTCGGGAGGCAGAGGCAGGCAGATCTCTCTGAGTTTGAGGCCAGGCTGGACCGACAGCCTCCAAAACAATACAGAGAAACCCTGTCTCGTAAAATCAAAACAAAAAAAATTACACTTATCTTTGTATTATTTTAGCTACCTAGTACAGATTTTTCACTCTTCTGTCATAGAACGGATATACAGAAGTGCTTCGGTGCTGATTGTCGCAGTGTATTTAACATGTATTTCTTGCATAGATAAGAATTAAAAACAGATGGCAGTCTTTTACCTCAGCCACATTTATTCTAAACTTTTCTAAGTGATCTTACCATCAAATCTTACTGAGCCACATGAAATGTCCTACTTTACGTACTGTGTTTAATATAGTCATTTTTATTAAGTAAGCTTTTAAATTTATAGCTAAATGTAAAAAGGAAATTCTTTAATCTAGGATATTTCAGAAATGTATCTGTCTTTACTAATTGCATCAGCTCAAATCAATCTAATGTCTTTCCAGTTTTCTCGTAAATTCTATATAGCCCAATGGTTCCGTGACACAACTTTGGAAACAGAAAAAGCAATGAAATCACAAAAAGATGAAGAATCATCTGATGGAGCACATCATGCAAAAGAAATTGAGACAACGGGTCAGATAATGCATCGAGCTGAAAACCGGAAAAAGTTCCTTAGAAGCATTATCAAAACCACACCGTCCCAGTTCAGCACATTGAAGTAAGATGCAGAGGAGGTGTGTTAGATATATGTCTCATAGATTCCATTTACAAAGGCCATATAAAACTGCGATGCTCTCTGTTGTAGGATGAACTCGGACACTGTGGACTATGATGATGCGTGCTTGATTGTTCGATACTTGGCCTCTATGAGGCCGTTTGCCCAGAGCTTTGATATTTATTTGACACAGGTAAATTGACTGACTGTGATTGATTTTTTTTTTTTCCTGGTTACTTTTAGAGATAGTAGACAGTATGTGTTCATTGTTGGGGGTAGTTTTAAAGGATTGTGAAAGCTGTTCACATGCCTTTAGCTATGCTTACCCTCTACATACTGATTCTCGTTGTGTTTACATGTTATTATAAAAATAAATTGTTCAGTTATCAGGTCATGTCAAATAATAGTCTTTGATAAAAATCACACATAAGGTTTTAGTGGAGCTTGACATTCTTAAATATATATATATACATACAGCAGTATGTTTGAGAATTCTGAGGTAAAGGAAAGACCTAAAATATAGAATACTTTTCCATGTGTATTAGTCGCTGTTAAGATTTTGGACCAGTAACATGAGGTATATAGTTTTACTCACACGTAAAAAAACAAAAGGCATTAAGTAATAGATTGTGTTCTCTTATATATATTCATGCTGTATTTCGTTAAGTTTTATGTATTTTAAATGTTTTGAGAATGTTCATGTTTGCCTGGCAGATACTACGAGTTCTTGGTGAAAATGCAATTGCTGTTCGAACAAAAGCCATGAAGTGTTTATCTGAGGTTGTTGCTGTAGACCCCAGTATTCTAGCAAGGGTAAGAGCAAAAATAACATTTCTTCTTTATTTTTTCAAATTTGAAGATTATCTTTGCTACTACAAGTAACATTTCTCTCGCTCTTTCTTAGCTTGACATGCAGCGAGGAGTTCATGGACGATTAATGGATAACTCCACTAGCGTTCGAGAGGCAGCCGTGGAATTACTAGGTCGATTTGTCCTTTGCCGACCTCAGCTTGCTGAGCAGTATTATGATATGCTGATTGAAAGAATATTGGTATTTGCTTTAGTTTTATAGTAATTCATGGATATAATTTGCCTTAAACATCACACCTTGTTTTAAGTTAATCTAAAAACGCATAAATGACAATTACAATTTTATATTGCCTAATCTGAACTATAGCGCCATTCTAAAGAAGGTAATGCTTTCAAGCAGCAAACTACTCAATATTATGCCAATTGCTGATGAAAATAGCCATTTTTTAAATGACTATTATACCAGTTTTTAGTATAGTGATTATGTATGGTAGTTAACTGCTTTTGGAGAGTACTCTAAATAATTATATTGCCATTGCAGAGTGAGTGTGTGTGTCTGTCTGAGAATTACTTCCATGGCAGGCACACCACCCACTATAAGCATATTGATTTCTTGCAGAACTACACGTGGCTGCATTAGCACACAAAAATTTTGTTTTACTTCAATGAAAATTATTTATTACCACTATGGTAGTACAAGAGTATTAAGTGCTTCAAGTTTTACTTGATTTAGCTTAAGCATTTTGTTGTCTATATCATAGATAGCATTTGCGTATATTGTTGAAGTACCAGGCACTATTCTAAAAGTTTATCATCTCATTCAGTTCTGGTGAATTTATCCTCTGGGCTTGAGTATACTAAGTGTGTATCCTTCCATGTTACATCATATTATGAAAGTTAAGACAGTAAACTAAATGTCATGTTTATAACATATGAAGAGTAAATATGTGCAACATAATTTTCATTTAACAAATAGAGATTATAATGCTTACAAAAAAATCTTATTTTTGTCAAATTTCACACACCTAAATTATCTGGATTTTCCTAACATTTGAAAATACATTTTTGTTCTTAGGATACTGGTATCAGTGTCAGGAAAAGGGTAATAAAGATTTTAAGAGACATCTGTATTGAACAACCAACATTTCCAAAAATTACAGAAATGTGTGTAAAAATGATTCGTAGAGTCAATGATGAAGAGGGCATTAAGGTAAGATGAAAATTTGATCATGTGAAATTTTTTATTAATTTTTAAAATAATTTAGGTACTTATTGAATCTAATTTCTTGTTTTGTTTCTAGAGTTTGTAGTAATAAAAGATGATCTTTCCCAATCTATTCAACCATTAGCAATATTTGTGTATTTAACTATAGAAACTATTCTATCCAAAGAAATTACCAGATTGAAATGATCTTGATTTTTTAAAATAGTATATTGATTTTTTTTCATTTACAGACTTGCCTGCAGCCTATAGGGTGTTATCTTAATTGAGGTTCCCTCCTCTCAGAGGTCTTTAGCTGGTATCTAGCTGACAAAACTATAAAGCTACAACCTTTCCTTTCTTGTTCATCCTCAAGATCACAAATTCAAATAAACATCACAATATGAAACATTTTACATACTTAAATGGTCCCCACAGTCTTACCAGGTGGTGCACACCTTTAATCCCAACACTTAAGAGGCAGAGGCAGGCGGATCTCTGAGTTCGAGGCCAGCCTGGTCTACAGAGCAAGCTCCAGGACAGGCTCCAAAGCTACAGAGAAACCCTGTCTCAGGAAAAAAAAAGTTCGACACAGTGTTACAAATTCCAACACTTTAAAAATTCAGTCTCTTTGATGGGAGAGACTTAGTAGACCTCTTGGGGGTGGGCTTACAGTCTCCGAGGAGCAGCAGATGGAAGGGGGTGGAGGGAGACTGGGATTGGAATATAAAAAATAAATTAATATAAAATAAAAAAGTTTAAAAATTCAATCTCAAAAAAGAAAAGGAAACGAAACTCTTAAAATAGAAAGTCTCAAGCATGGACTTCTATAAAGTCAAAATTAAGTTGAATACCTTTGTATTTCAAGAGAGAAAACCAAGGCACAGTGCCAATCAGATAAATTCGGAACCAGACTCCAACAGTGTAAATCACTTAATGTCCAATATCAGGGTCACTTCTCAGGCTCCACACTGCAACACACACAACTTGTCTTCTAGACTCAGGCTGGGTTCACTCCAGGGCTGCTCCTGTTCTTGGCAGTCATCCCATGGTGCTGGCGTCTACAAAATGATGGGTCTTTTACTGCTTCTGGGCTACACTTTCACTAATGGCCTCTCATAGGCCCTCTTCACAATGCCAGGCTTCAACTTTTCTCCATGACTCCTGCAATCCTGGGGCTTCCACTGCTATTCTGGTTGCACCTTCACAAGTGGCCTCTCCTGGCCTCTCACAGTGCCAAGCCTCAGCTGCTCTCCATGACCCCTTCATGCCTTCAAAACCGTATCACCTGGGAGACCTTAGACATGACTGAGTTGGGCTGCCAACACAAGGTACAACCTTACCTCCCAGTGAACACAGCATGTGTGTGCTGAGTTCCCACAAGATTTCACCTCATTGATGCTGATCTTGTCTTAATCACTGCCAATTTTTCAGTTCCAGCTAACCAGCATCAATTATCCTTGTGAAGCAAGGTTTTTCTTCAGTGGTTCTGGTATCTTTTTAATCACAACTGACTCTTCAACCCCAGCTAACCAGAATCACAAATTCTTAAGTCAAAATAGCAGACAGCTCTGATAGAATCATTAAGGGTCTCACAAACTTCCTTCTCAAACTCCACAAACCAGACCTCCATTGCATCTCTCTCAACATTCTTCCAAGCTCCCACAGAATAGCTCACCAAGCTTTGAACACTCAATGGTTTTTCTTGCTTAAAGTTCTAAAGTCCTTCCACGAAGCTCCCAAAATTGGTAGCCACTTTCCCGCAATCCTGGTAGCCAATTTCTGTCCTAGTTAGAGTTACTATTGCTATGATGGAACACCATGAACAAAACAACTTTGTGTCACTGTTCATCACTGTAAGAAGTCAGGACAGGAACTCACAACAGGGCTGCAACCTGGAGGCAGGAGCTAATGTTGAGTCCTTGGAGGGCTGCTTGCTCTCTCTGGCTTACCAAGCCTACTTTTTATAGAACCCTTAGGGGTGGCCACACCCACAATGGGCTGGATTCTCCTCCTTTGACTAATTAAGAAAAGGTCTTACAGCTGGATCTTACAGAGGCATTTTTTTAATTGAGGTTCCCTCCTCTCAGATGACTTTAGCTTGTTAACATAAAACTATCCAGCATGAGTTTCTTCCTTTAAAGCATAAAAGGGAGCTTTGTAGATAGCAAGTAGGTAAGAGTACTTGTTCTACAAGCATGAGGACTGAGCTCAAATCCCTAGCACCCACATTAAAAGCTGGGCATAGCCACATGTACCTGTAACCCTAGCATTGGGCAGGTGGAGACAGGCAGATTCTCAGGTCTTGCTGACTAGCCTGTCTAGCCAAAATAGCAAGCAAAAAAGTCTCAAGAAAAATGATTGCGATAGATGTCCTGCTGTGGTCTCTTATGTGCTCCCATGGGTATACACACCCACATTAAGTACATGTGTACAGCACACACACACAAAACAATAAAAGTGATTTTAATCTGATCAAACACATTTCAAACTGGAGAGGTGGCTTGTCAGTTTCTTGCTGCTCTTGCAGAGAAACCAGGTTCGATTTCTAGCACCCACTCCAGGTGGCTCACAACCACCTATACTCAGTTCCAAAGGATCCAAAACCTCCTCTGGCTCCTGCAGGCACTTGCACACAGGTGATGCACATCCATTCAGGCACACACACATAAACACATGGTTAAAGAATTTTGAAAGTGTTTTATGCAGAAGCTGTAGGTTAAACATAGTATTGCCCATCACCACTGTTTGACAACGTTCATAATTTGGGAAATCAGTTGGTCAGATTTTTTGTGATGGTTTTGTTTGCTTGTTTTTGGTTTTTTTCAAGACAGGGTTTCTCTGTAACTTTGGAACCTGCTCTGTAGACCAGGCTGGCCTCAGACTCCCAGAAATCCACCTGTCTGTACCTCCCAAATGCTGGGCTTAAAGGTGTGCACCACCACTGTCCAGCTACAATTGGTCATTTTAATCATGAAGAAATTTATAATAAACTCCTGGCTAGCTGTAGCTTTGTGTTGGGCCTTAATGAGAATTTACAATTAAAAGTTTGCTGGTTTTGGCTGACGTGAGCAAGTGGGAGCTCACAAACCCCAGTCTGACAGCTGGGGAACCAGCATAAGACCCAACCAGTCCCCCCTGAATGTGAGTGTCAGTTGGGGGACCTGGGCAGTCTATGGGGCCTCTGGCAGTGGAACCAGTATTTATCCCTAGTGCACAAATGACTTTGGGAACCCATCCCCTATGCAGGGATACCCTCTCAGCCTAGATACATGGGGGAGGGACTGGGTCCAGCCTCAAATGATGTGACAGACTTTGATGATCCCTCATGGGAGGCCTCACCCTCCCTGAGGAGTGGATGGTTGGGGTAGGGGGGAAGGGAAGTATGGGAAGGAGAGGGAAAAGGAACTGGAATTGGTATGTAAAGTAAGACTGTTTTTAATTTAAATAAAAATGAATTTTTAAAAAGTTTGCTGTTTTTGTTGTTAATAATTGATTTTCCTTTTCTTTTAGAAATTAGTAAATGAAACATTCCAGAAACTCTGGTTTACTCCAACGCCACATAATGACAAAGAAGCAATGACAAGAAAAATCTTAAACATCACTGATGTGGTAAGAACAATGGACACAAGTGTGTGGTCACTGTGAATGCAAAGGTAGTTGAAGTGCACTGCGTTTTATGAGGGAAGAGGCAATGATGAAATGCGTAGCTTTGCCTGGTGTTACTGCTGCTTCATTTGTATTCCTGGAGCTTCTGGTATTTAAGTAACAGGAGATTGATATTTACACATGGCTCAACTTCTTGATACTCACATGTATAAACATTGATGTTGAGGTTTTCTCTTCTGCCATAATTGAGAAAAGAAGAGAGAAAGAGGAGGATAGCTGTGTACTCTGGGCTTGCAACCTGCAGATAGCATTTAGAGTAGTTTAGGTTTTATTACATAAATGAACTGTAATTTGCTGGTATGTATTGAATATTAGCAATTTTATATACTTGGTGACAAGATTATCTCCATTTTCACTGTTAGCAATAAGTCTATTCTCAAGAGGGTTAAGGAACAAAAATTTGTATTTTCATTGTTTGAAACCTCACAGATTTTTCTGATAGAGTGTAGCATAAGCTAGTTTTTTATGATTTGATACCATTTTAGTATTTGATATTAAACTAATTTTTAATGTTTTCCATATTACCAAGTGTTTGAGTTGCTGAAAAAAATGTTTGCTTTAGATACAATATTGTAAAAGTATACTTCATGTTATGACATAACTAAAAATGTCTGTTTTAAAATAAATGTTTTTGAGAGAGAGAGAATTTCAACATTTTCCCCTTCCCTTTGCTACCCTCAAACCCCCCCATATACCCTCCTCGCTCTCTTTCAAATCCATGGCCTCTTTTTCATTGCTATTATATGTATTAAGTATATGCTATCTATTCCTAACCATAACCTTGTCTGTCTTTATAATGTCATTATAAATGCATTATTTTAATAGTTTCATGGCCTTCCTTTTCACCTTAGGTTGCAGCATGTAGAGATACTGGATATGACTGGTTTGAGCAACTCCTTCAAAATGTGAGTGTAATTTTGATGACACGAGATTTAATAAAGGGTCTTTATCATTTTAAAAATAAAACTTTTAAGAGTTGGAGAGATGGCTCAGTGGTTAAGAGCATTGGCTGCTCTTCTATAGGACCTGTGTTTAGTTCCCAGCACCCACATGGTCATTCACAGCTATGTATAATGGGATCCGATGCCCTCTTGTGGCCTGCAGGTGTACATGCAGATAGAGTGCCATATACATAAAATAAATAAATCTTAAAAATAAATAAAATTTTTTAAAAAAGAAAAATAAAAGTAAGCTATTCTTTCTTAAATATTTGTGTTTTAGTGGAAGAAACTTACTTCAGTATGTTAAGCCTTGTGATTTAATTTTCTTGCTGAATCAATTATCCAGTTAACTGCTAAAATGTTTTCTGAATTACTAACTAAAGTTCTAACTTCACTTTCAGATAATTTTTTTCCATATCTCTTTAATGTAGAACCGTGGTTCTCAACCTTCCTACCCTTTAATACAGTTCCTTATAGTGTGGTGTGATCCCCAACCATAAGATTATTTTGTTGCTTCTTTATAACTATAGTTTTGCTGCTGTTAGAATCATAATGTGTAAATATGTGATATGTGTGATATCTGATATGCAACCCCTATGAAAGGGTCATTTGATCCCCCAAAGGGGTTACGACCCACAGGTTGAGAACCAATGATCTAGACACTACTCACGAGATCTTAAATATAAAAATAACATTAAATACATAATTATTTGGCATATTGCAAAATATATAGAATTTCTTTTAGTAGCATAAACTAATACCACAATTTGAACTTTCAGAAATGTTCACATAAGAATTTTCATTTCCCAACTGTAAATGTTCCTAGCATGTTTCGGTCTTTGTGTGTGTAGGTGGTAGGTAGCGTGTGTGGAGCTAGATGAGAGTGTTAGGTGTCCTGTCATTCCTTCGTTCTCTGTCTTATTCTCTTGAGACTCTCTCACTGAATCTGAAGTTCACGGATTTGGCTAGGTTAGCTGACCAGCATGTTCCCAACATCCACCTGTTTCTGCCCCCAATGCCAGGGTTACAGACAGCCCAAGTTTTGTTTTGTTTTGTTTGTTTGTTTTCCCAACAGGGTTTCTCTGTAGCTTTGGAACTCACACTGTAGACCAGGCTGGCCTCGAACTCACAGAGATCCGCCTGCCTCTGCCTCCCAAATGCTGGGATTAAAGGCGTGCGCCACCACCTCCAGGCTACTGAGCCCAAGTTTTATGAGGGTGCTAAGGATTTGAACTGTGGTTCCCAAGTTGTCTTACCCACTGAGTTATTTTTGGAGGCAGTATCTCACTATCTCACATTTTTCCTTAGTATTGCTCTAAAAACTCTAGGCTCAGTGATCCTTCCACCTCTGCCTACCC